CATATTTATTATATTTGATTTCAGTTCATGCTTATTTTATTTATTTTCCTTTTTTAAGTTTAAAGTTTTATAGTTATTATAATAACCACTTCAACAGCCAAAAAAAAAAAACTAAATCAAGTCTTTAAGTCTTTTATAATTTATAATCTTTTATAATATGCCGTTTCCCCAATTTATCAGCTGCTAGGCAAAAATAAATGCTTCAAAAAGTAATAGCTGCACTATTTAAGGTGTCCGTGTCTGCATCACACTCACTCTTAAGGATTTATTCAGATCACTAACCCTATTTATAGTGAATATAGTGATGCTTGACCTGAGGAAAGCACATGCAGCCTGTCTATAGACTGCTGTATGAAGGCTGTGTGTTTTTGCTGCGGTGGTTGTGTCGTGTTCACTATCACACCTGCTGGGCTCAATCTCACTCTCTGCAGGTGCTGGAGATGCTGGATAATGTAACAGAAGGATTTGGCAGAGCAGACGTCCCAGTGCACCTGCGACTGATGCTTTCACAGCCCTCCAACGTATACTGTTAGAAGACAGAGAGAGAAATCTGTTATTATTACTCTGTTTACAGCTTTCCTGTAGTGTTCAGTTCGGCTAAGAGACAGTTAGCAAGCTGTTTAGAAATCAGTGATTTATTTTATTTTATTTGTCTGTTTTTCCTACATATACAGTTAACAGCTGTTATTTTTTGTGACTATCCTATGTCATTTCTTATGTTCCCAAACTTTTATTTTTTAATAAAAATGAATTAAAATTGCAAAATAATCATATTTATTTCTGAGATGATAACTCAAAAAATTAAGTATACAACCTACAGACATTAGCAAGCTATTCAGAAATCAGTAAAAGAAAAAGACTCCAAAATGAAAAAAAAAATGTATACATACATTCTTATTACACATTTTTTCATATATATTTAAAATTATATTTCTTTATTATACATTTTATTTTCTTTAGCCTGTGTGTCCTATTTAGTTTGCATCTGCTTTTATTTTATTTTTTAGCTTGTCTGACATATCCCGTTTACAACTGCTTTAATTTAAGCAATTTAAAATTTCATATTTGAATATAATTTGACATAAAATTGGATTAAAAGAAGTGACCAAACCAAGCCTTACTTATTACCTTACTTCTGAACATTTGCATCTCATGTTAAACAGTGGCTACATTCGCTAGTTGTCATTGATCAACTGAGTAAGGTCAGGTTTATTGATCTCTGAGTGGCTGGTTTTAAATATAGCCTGGGATTCAAATGCCTCTGTATCAGCTGAAGTGATACACACCAGTGCATTTCTTCCATTATTGCCTTCCTACAACTGAACAGTCATACGTTTCATTAATACAATCAATATAATTTACAGATAAACCTTAAGAAATCTGGGAACGAGATGCACTAATGCAGGTGCATTATATATTATTAGCAGATGTGTTATTAATAAATACATCCTTATTCTTTGCAGACATGATATGGCCCAGACACGTCTGAAGGAGATTATAGACCGAGACAAACCACCTTCCAAAAAGACAAATGAAATAGTGCAATGCAAGAGGATTCTGGGCAGATTAGGACAGGAATACACATAAGGTGAGATATGAAGTGATGAAATATGTTTTGTCAGATTGGTGTCAAGCCCGTCCTGGCCTAGAATCAACCTGGAATGTAATTCTATCACCTCTCAGCAGCCAGAGGCTGAATTTCATTCTTCTTAAGTTAACCCAAAAGCTGAAGCACTCGGTGTGTTAAAGCAGTTTTCTCTAATGCATTTGTGCGCTGTCACTTGTCTGCTGCTGACTCAAATATGCAATTATCAGTGTGTTTCTGTTCTCAAACTGAATTACCTCATAACCCTGTGAGAGATTTTTATACAACATATGATTATTTTCAGTGTTGGGGAGTAACTAGTTACATGTAACGTAATTACGTAATTTAATTACAAAATAAAAGTAACTGTAATCAGTTACAGTTACTGAGAAAAAATGTGTAATTAAATTACAGTTACTTATGAAAATGTTAAGGATTACAAATGGGGTTACATCTGATTTTTCCACACACACTCCCACATACAGATTTAATTGAGTTCTTTCATAAATTGCAGTGACTGCTCTAAAATATGAAACACCAATGTTTCAGTAGTTTATAACATGCTCATCCGATAGGGTTTATGTATATGCTTTATTTTTTTAAGATTAACTGTTTTTTCTAAGGCATTGTTAGATTCCAGTGTTTCCTGTCATAGCTATGCAAAGATTTGATTTCAAAAACAGTATCATAGCTATTAAACTATTTCTTGTTATGATTTTAAATCCGCCCCCCCAATTTTGCATCCAATGTCTTCTTTAAAATTAAAATATTATAATCTTAATTCAAGTGATGAAGGATTTCGAAAGTCTGACAGTTAGCAGCGTTGAGCACATACTGTAAGGTTAACCCTCCCTGCTTTACATGTTTGAAAATGATTAACAGTTGAAAACATTAGAAATTTAGAAAAGTAATCAAAAAGTAATCAAATGTAATCAGTTACATTACTTTAATAAAGTAATTGAAAAGTTACACTACTTATTACATTTTAAGTAGGGTAACTTGTAATCTGTAACTTATTACATTTCCAAAGTAACCTTCCCAACACTGATTATTTTATGAAAAGTGTTTTATGAATTTCCACTTTTGTTCCTCAGGCAGAACAGTCAACTTCTTTAACTTGCTGATGCAGCTCTTCTCAAAAATTCTGTTGTTCCTATAAAAGTTACAGCTTTTATTTTAACTAGATCTATTTAACTACTTTTATTTTATTTTATTCGACTTCCAAAATGTGGCCCTTTTTATACATGAAATTAGATGGAAAATGCAGTGTAATGCATAGTGATTTCTGTTTCATATACTATTTATTTATATCCAGAGAATATATCATTTTCGAAGTTGGCTTAACACAATACTAGTCCTGTTTCTGCATAATATCGAAACTGTCACAGTATATGCACATTTTCTGTATGCATAGAAAGTATTACACTGCAATGCAGCCAGAAGCAATATAAATGTAATATATAAATAATGATTTTAATATCTCTTTCTTAAATCCATTTCTTTGCACTGTCAAAATAGAGATATTATTAGTTATTTGATCTGATCCAGAAGTCTGGATCCTCTGAAGTGCCCTTCTGTGTCGCATGATCAGGTATTTATAGAAGACCTGTGACCTAAATAACCTGGTATGCAGTCAAAGCGATGCCCCCCAAACAAACTGGATCGACGTAGGCTACGCAACAACAACATTTGCAAGGTAACGTGTAAATAAAATGCCTAATATTTTGGATAAAATGTCATTTTAAACTTTCGTAAGTCTAATAGCGCAGCTTAAAGGAGTAGTTCACTTCCAGATTGAAAATTCTGTCATCATTTACTCACCCTCCACTTGTTCCAAACCTGTATGAGTTTCTTTCTTCTGTTAAACACAAACGAAGATATTTTGGAAAAATGTTGGTATCCAAACAGTTGATGAGCACCATTGCCTTCCATAGGAAAAAAAAAATACTATGGAAGTCAATTGTGGTCATCAACTGTTTGGATACCAACATTTTTCCAAAATATCTTCGTTTGTGTTTAACAGAAGAAAGAAACTCATACAGGTTTGGAACAAGTAGAGGGTGAGTAAATGATGACAGAATTTTCATTCTGGAAGTGAACTACTCCTTTAAGGGAGTTGGTGTAAATCGTAAGCGGTTTGTTTACTTTTTATATTTAGCGAGACACGCAAAATGAATGAATTATTACGTGGTTATATTGACAGACTTTGATACACATTATTACAGATTAAAGGATTTAAACATCATATTGATTTGCTCATGTTCGCTTTTAGACTCGCACGTGGTGTTATTTACAGTTTGCAATCACGTGAGCGGCAGATAGTTTGCGTGCAGATCACGGGTCACGTGATGGCTTTTCTCGACCGTGTTCATAAAAGATGTGTCTATAATCAGCATCCAGTAGGACAGTGTGATGGATTTGGACACACCTGGAGGGTTCGTTTTTAGACTCGCACGTGGTGTTATTTACAGTTTGCAATCACGTGAGCGGCAGATAGTTTGCGTGCAGATCGCGGGTCACGTGATGGCTTTTCTCGACCGTGTTCATAAAAGATGTGTCTATAATCAGCATCCAGTAGGACAGTGTGATGGATTTGGACACACCTGGAGGGGGTCTTGACGAGGATGTGGCAACTCAACTGATGATCGAGCAGAGTCTCCAGCAGCGCCGCAAACAAGCGGAGGCCAGGAGCTCTTTCTCCGGTGAATCCTGCAGGTCAAAGATGCTTCACACTTTCAATAAGTTCAGATTCATTTGTGCTGCTGCTGCTGCTGCCTGAATGAAATCCGCTGTATTTTTGTCTGCAGGGTCATTCCGATCACCCCTGAGAGAGAGAAGATATTCAATGCAATAAAGCATGGTATGAATGGGTCAGTCACACAATGACAAGGTCATATTTCATATCAAAATAAAAAAGAAAACGGAGCAAACTCTAAAGTTTTTTAATTGTATATTTTATTTATATTTGGATATTTTAAATAAATATTTCCATGACAAATAAACACATTTTCACCCATTTTCTCATTAGTGTAACATGTCTAGATGTGTACTTATTTTATACTTAATTACTATTATTAGTAGTAGTAATAGTATTTTTCAATTATATTCTCAAAGGAGATTATTATAATTTGTTCTACATTATAAGAAAATGCTGGAATATTTTTTTTAATTAAAACCAGATGAAAGCAAAGCAGTACAACAGATACTTCCATAAATACTTTATTTATTTTTTCTCATTGAAGTAATGCATTTTTTGAGAGGTGTGCTTGATTGCATAATGATTATCAGGACTATTACGTTTTTTTTGTTTAGTTTTTTGCATCAGGACGATTAATTAAGCTAATTTCCCACAAACTCTCATAGTAAAAATGGTGATTATTATTGTGTGGTACAGCCATTTTTTCAGCATTAAAAATATTAGATTTTTTTTTACTTGACAAAATATAATTTATTATTTATTTGTTTGTTTGCTTATATGACCTAGATATGTTTCACGAGTTTCACCTGAATGTGTTCTTAACTACACTGATTATCATCACATTTAAACAGAATGTGCATTCACTTCTGAAAATACTTCATTAACTTCATGTTCTGGTTCATGCTAGTTTTTGCTGGTTTGGTGCTGGTCTAGCCACGGCATAGCTATGAAGTTCACCAGAATAGCTTCAGCTGGTTAAGAAGCTTCTGTTCACTCATGTCATTCTCTGGATGTGTTATCAGGTGATGAAAAGTCCCTCCGTAAACTGACTGTCCATCAGCAAGCTATCTCTGAAGAAGACGACACAGGCTACATCCCCTTACACGAGGCCGCCATACAGAACAACCAGAACATCCTTGAGATCACATTTACCGGTCTGTCACGAGGATGCACTTTGTTTCGGATCATCATTGTTGATCTTATGTGTCTAGACAGCAGTGACTGTGATCTCTTCTGTTCATCAGCGTCTCCTGAGGATGCCAAGCACAGAAAGACTCGTCAGGGTAAGACGGCTCTCTTCTTAGCGGTGGAGAAAGGTCTTTTGGACAACGCTTGTTTCCTGCTGGACCACGGCAGCAGTCCAGACACCCTGGATAAAGAGGAAGACTCGCCTCTTGTTGTAGGTCAGAAAGGCCCACGGGTCATTCTTCCATTGGAGTGACAAACGAAAAACAGAATTTGTAAAAAAAAAAAAAAAAAATGTATTGCTACGTATTTAAAATCGGTTTAATGTGCTATATTCAGTAAAATGGGGAAATTTAGAATTTTAATCAATTTTACTCAAATACTGGTGCTTATGCTTAGAATATGAGCTGCCGTTAAGATTATATGCGGTGTTATTTTAGTATAGTTGAGAAATTATTATAGTTTATTCACATTTTGAATGAGTTTTTATTTCGTTTTCCATTTTAAATGTAATGTTTTAAATGTTATGTTTTAAAACAAATTTAAATGTCTCTAGTTTTCATTTTATTTCAGTTTTAGTTATTTTAGTACATCAAATTAAACAAAATGCAAATGAAAAATAGTGTCTTGGCAACTAGCTGAAATAAAATATATTTTTAAAATATTTATTTTAATTTCAAGTAACAAAAATGTTTTTAATGGTTTATTTCTTGTTTCAGCTTCTATTCATCAGCATTTAGATTAGAATATGTACCGGTAATATCTGCAAGTTATTAACATCATGGACTTCAATAAAGTTTAACACATGAAATTGTCAGCAGTTTAGCAAAATTAGGGCTCCACAATTAATCGAATTTCTAATCGCGATTACAATTATGGATGCCACAATTACGTAATCGCTCAAAGCGGCAATTAATCGTTCAAAGTCCACTTATGTTATTCTGCACGCTTAAGATATGTTTTTTCTTTCTACATGTTATCTTAAGGCTTTTTCCATTGTTTTAGTTTTAGTGTAACATTATAATACCATTCATATTTGTACTTTTTTTGCAATTTAAAGAAGAAACCAATCCGATGCATATTTGACATTTGAGGCTTAATACTATAGAAAAGCACTAAAAGTTTTTCAGTTAGAGTGTTTTCAGCTTGTTTATTTTCATATAAAAATACGGCATGCAGTTGCATCAAACAATGGTATAAACGTCATTCAGTGTAAATTGTGATAATCGTAGTTAATAATCGCAATTACAATTTCAAGGGAATAATCGACAATTATGATTTTTGTCATAATCGTGCAGCCCTAAGCAAAATGTATGAAAATGAATAGGAAAGAATTAATACAATCACCTTCAACAAACAGAAATGGGCGACAATCATTGTTGAAACATAGACAACGTTAGGGAACACATCTTTTTCTTAAACCGAATAAAATATGTATTTATTTTAAACAAACTGTACATGTTACAATCTATATTCAGAATATAACCACTTTATTTGTGTTAAAAATGTTATATTGTTGCACTTGCAGTTATATACCAGGATACTTTGATTAGTGGTTGGAACATGCTGATGTGGTTTCAAACTCAATTAAAAGTGTATTCTAACAGTGCACAAATTGTTCACCCTACAGAATACAAATATTTGATTCTTTATTAGAATTTAAACAGTTGTAAAGTAGATGGACATCACTAGCCATCGCAAATGAAGGATGAACTTCCTCTTTAAAAAGCCAGCAATCTCAAAGCCTGATTTCAGTTTAGTTGCATTCCTTCTTTATTCTTCCTGACCAAATGGGGTTTTTTTTCTGCAGCCATAAGGAACAACCACTACGACATGACGAAGCTCCTGCTAAACTTCAGTGCCAGAGTTAACCAGGAGGGGGCGAACCGCAGGACGGCCCTGCATGAAGCCTCCCGGCTCGGCCTGATGGATTTCGTGGATCTGCTGTTGAAGTTCGGAGCTCATCCCGACCCCAGAAGCTCCTACGGCCTGACGCCGTTAGCATTAGCTGCACAGGCCGGACACCTGGAGATCATCCGAACACTTCTCCGGAGAGGTCAGGAGAGAATCCAGATGCAGCCCAGGGTCATTACAGTAAAGTAAAACTAAAAACACACCCTGGCCAGTTCATTCTTTATTATTCATGTTCAGAAATGTTGCTAAATTTAGTGCGTCACACTTTATTAAATTTAAATTTCTGTGATGTTATGCTGATAACTTGCAGATTTGACAATTTTTAAATATAGCCTTATTAATATTTCCATAATGTTCTGTGATTTTGAAACCAGGGTTATTGGTTTAGTTTTATTAGACAAGTTGCCAGGGCAACTTGTCTTATTTTCTTTTAGTTTAAATGAATGTGCTTAAAAAAGCTAAAAAGTAAAATGAAATGATAAAATTTAGACATATTTAAACAACACAAAAAGATTTGTTCAGTAACATTTTATATAATAATAGTAATAGATATGCATTATGTAATAATTATATAGTAATATTATAAATTATTGATGATATTATGAATAATAGTAATTACTGTTAATTACATTATTGTACATTTGTAGTTGTTTTTAACTGCTGATTTACATAAAAATATGTAATGCAGTGAAAAATTACGTTGAAATGAAAAATAACTGCAAATTTCAAGGTTTGTACAATAACAGTTTATATAATAATATTAATAATAAATAATAATTATTATTATGCTTTATTTATTTTTATATATTTTTAATATCATTATTAAGAATTAGGGATGTAACGATTCACTCAACTCACAATTCAATTCGATTCATGATTTATTAATTTTTTTAACAAAATGAGATTTAAGACAAATTATAAATTAAATGTGTCCTTTTATTATTGCTTGGACAAAATGCTGC